TTTGTATGTTATGTAATGCATTACAGATTTGTGCGAATTAAGTGATTTTTTTTTATAGATTGTATGTCATGTCATTCATTGCAGATGAATCTAAACATTACAACGAAAAAACAGAAATATAATTGGAATTTTTAAATCATCAGACATTTCTCAAAATTACAAATGAACAGAAATAAATTGAGGATTCTTAAATCATCACATAAATATAATAGGAATTCTTAAATCATCACAGCAATAAACATCTCAACTGCAAAAAAATTAATTTTCTAACATGTAAAAACAATTATGGTTTTAGTTTTATTTTACTTTTTTGGTTCTACATACAGCAATGTATATTGCTGTTTTCCATTTAATCTATAGAATAAGCAATACAGCTGCGAGTATGTTTTTATTTATCATTATTGCAGAATTTGGTTTTATTATTTTCTTTAATAAGTAATAAGTTTTTTTCATAATGGAGGCTAATTAAGTGATTTTTTTTATAGATTGTATCTCATGTAAATGCATTACAGATGAATCTAAACATTACAACGAAAAAAACAGAAATATAATTGGAATTTGTAAATCATCACAGACATTTCTCAACATTACAACAACTGAACAGAAATAAATTGAGGATTCTTAAATCATCACATAAATATAATAGGAATTCTTAAATCATCACAGAAATAGACATTTCAACTGCAAAAAGATTAATTTTCTAACTATAATGGGAATTAGATCATAAATACATGTGATTATAATATATACACGGGGGTGGTGGGTGGGTGGAGGTGTTATATATCGATAAGTTTTCTTTTCTTACTGTAAAATAGCTATAAAAAATAAATGATAAGTATAAGATTAGATTAATTTGCAAAAAATAATTATACATTACTATCTATTCGAAAAAATAAATAGTATACCCTATTTACATCATATAAGTAGATAAGTATATAAAATTTATTCACACGTGATAATTTAGAAGGAAAAAAATATAAATATTTTAATAATGATTCGGTTACCTTATAAGTTGATTTGTTTCTCATATCTATCTAATCTAATCCAATAATGAAAACAAATTAGAATATTTTACGTGATCTTTTATGGTATATCTTAACAAATTAGAATGTCTTTCGTGATCTTTTATGATATATCTTAAGTAAAACAATGTTGATATATATATATATATATATATATATATATATATATATATATGATCGCTGATTCTAGGTCTTTAAGGTTATTTTAGACACCGCAGTCAAGGTTACGTTTCTTACGGTCATAAATTTATCTCTTTCATTCTCAGTTTCATGAGAACTTCTAATCATATTCAATGAATATTTTATTTTTCAACAGTCGTAGATAGTGAATTGGAGAAGCGAACAAACATGCGCAGCAGTAGCAATGATGCAGATAGAAGAACTTGCAAAAGAGGTCAAAAATCAAAAAATACATACAGTCAGAGATATGGATACACAGATCGAGAAAACACAATTAACCTTTCACCAGAAACTCTATTTCATAATCCAGGTAATATTATTTTATCATATCTTATGTTTTTTTAATCACAGTAATGCTTTACACTTTGAAAGAGATTATTACCTTTTGTTTCCTTCAGTTTTCGAATTGTTGTGGCATATCGGAATCAGCGGAGTCATGTCATTTGTATATTTTGAACTCCATGTCCATGCATCAAAACAATGAACAATTGATTAGTATGTTTAAAATGAATGCTTGAAACAATAACTATGGTCAATGTGAACAACCGCATATTTGTAATGCAATTTACAATTCTTATTTTTATTTAACATTAAAGGTCTGTCATTTGTAGATGATGTGTACCTTTCTTTTGTGCGTAATCTGTGCAATTCAGTTGTTGTGTTGTTATCCTTGCCTCCATCCACATTTACATGCATACAATAATAATAAACAAGTTTAATAATCTGTGAAAATCGTTTTTATAAATTTCTTGAACCCTGTCTCATCTTTTCTGAATTGTTCAATTAGACAAGGTAAGATGAAAAACTCTGTCATCTTTTCTAAATTGTTCAATTAGACAAGGTAAGATGAAAAACTCTGTCATCTTTTCTAAATTGTTCAATTAGNTCAGTTCATACAATTTATTAAACAAATAAAAGAAAACAAACGGTTTTTGAAGTCTTTCAGTAGATCTCTTTCGGATTTATATTTTTTTATAGCAAAATCAACTAGATCTGAAAAAATAAGAAAAACGCAAATAAGTATCGAGTGCAGATCGTAGATATCTCCACTAAAAAAATTCGAAAATGGGAAAAAACATATCGATTATCAGTTTATACGTAGATTTCGATCAAGAAAATTAAGTATCCAGTGAAAAAAATTAAACAAAACAGAATTTTGGATTTCAATAGAGAGATCGAGACGGTTAATGATGAAAACTCTAAAACGGAATAAAAAAATATAGAGTCCAGCGTTGAATTTTCGATCAAAAGATATCGAAAATGGTTAAAAACAGATCGATTAACATCACTAAACTGGGTAAAAACAAATCGATAAGTAGATTAATATCAATAAACTTACAAAATTAATATCAATAAACTTACAAATCCCGTGAAAAAAATAAACCAAAAGTGAAATCGGGTTTTGATTTGAAGTACTTCACAAAATTGAAACCAAATAACATCACAATTTCTAACATATCACTCAATCTCTAACATATTATCGATAATCGATAAACATATTTCATAAGATCAAGAGATCTGAAAAATGAAATAGCAGATGAAATGTTAGAGAGAGAGAGAGAGAGCGATAGAGAGTGAGGCGGTGACTACAATGAAAACCCTACTTTTTCGGGTTGATTCTCTATTTATAATCGAGATCAATTACTTTCGACCACACGATTTGGTTACGCGATTCTGACCGTCCATTTATTGTTTTAATTGTTTATTTTTTTTCGTTTTCAATATTTAACAGAAATTAGTAATCTATACTTATATTAAAAGGTATCCCATTTACCAGATTTAGTATAAAGAAAAGTCAAAGGTAATTAATGTTTGCTGGAAATAGAATGATATTAATTACAGATTTGTTTTGGTATTTATAGCTTGACATTAAAGATTTGTTATGGGATAAAAACCAGAACCGATTTTTTTACCTTTGCTGAAAAATCAAATGTAAGTATAAAATTTTTTTATTTCATAACATCGGTTTAGTTAAAATAATCTCATAAAATCAGTTTTAATGTCAAGCCTATAAATAAAAATTTAATCGGTTTTAATAATTGCATAGAATTTCAAAGCTGTTATTTATTGAAAAAATTAAATTCTAAAAAAACATTTGTGTATATTTTGTAAAATGTTTGTACAAAATGTTTTACTTTAAATTTATTTACATAATTTAAATTAATTACATTAATAAATAATATTAACATACATTAAATATTTTAATTACATAAAACAAAAAGAAGAAGAAGATTACATCTATAACTTATAATAATAATGACATTATACTACAATAAATTTTATAATGAAATAATATAAGTATTATACGAGGAACAAGATTACGTAAAACTGTTATTTTTCTTATACCAATGAATAAATATATATAATGAAATCAAATTTATATTATTATAAATATGTGAGCGAGATAATATATTAATTAATTTACGGGCTAGCGCTACCAGACTCAGGTTTAATGTTCCGACAAAAAAATGACGTTGATGAAAAGATGTAAAAATATAGATGATCAAACTCTATTATTTTTTAGGCCTGAATGGACAAGCCCTATGGTCCACTCATTTAATATCTCCTGTGAATCGCACGAGCTACTTAACAGACAAGTTCTGTGGAAATAACTCATTAATCTTATGTCCCGTGCATCGCACGGGCTACGTACTAGTAATTTTTTAAATGCGAAATTATTTTACATATATTGTAATCGCATATCCCAATTGATAGCCGCTATTTATAATTATGTAAAATTTATTCGCATATTTTACGACTCGCATTTCAAATATATTGCATAGTTAACAAGTAAGCGAAACACTTACGCATATTACTTAATTACATATCCAAATACACCGCATAATTTACCATATGCGATAAAATTTCGCATATTAGTTATCGCATATCCAAATTGATTGCCGCATATTTTAGAATTATGCAAATATTGTCACATATTTTTCAACTTGCATATCCAAATCTATCACGCCATATAATTAACGATTATGCGTAACCTCGCATATTCAGGAATCACATAATTTATTATTATCCAAATCAAAATTATGTGAAAATTATTCCGCATATACAGTTACCACATACCCAAATTGATCACCGCATATTTAAGTTATGTGAAACGAGTTCGCATAGCTTACGACTCATTGTCTAAATCAGACGCATTGTTAATAAATATGCGAATTATGTTCAAATATATTTTATAATCATATATCTGAATCCATCGTATAATTTAACATATGCGTGAAAGTATCACATATCCAAATCGAACGTAGCATATTTTTTGATTATGTGACTTTTTTGAATAGTTTACGACTTGCACAGCTAAATCTATAACGCCGTATAATTAACGATTAGACGTAATGTATTCGCATATTCACGAATCGCATATCCAAATTGAAAGGCGCATAATCCAGGACTATTCGTCATTTTTTGGCTAATCCGTATCACGAATCATATATTCGTTGAAAATGTTCCGCATATTATTCAAATAGTTATGTATCACATGATCGACTTATTTTTTTACGTAAATTAGACACGCATGATGTTGATTTTTTTATAAAAAAATTTACTACCATTTAACACATATTCTTCTTCTTTGTGCCAGCATTTTACTATCATTTGATTCTTGCTCTTCCTCCCTACATTTACCACCATTTAATTTTTCTTCATCTTCCTGTCTACACTCTACTGTATTTCTTTTTGTTCAAGCTTTAAGGCGACATATCTACTGCATTTTTCCTTTCAAACTTATTTGGTTCTTTAATTTTCTTTCTTTTAAAAATTACACTTTAATGGCTAGCAATCATGTTAGAGTATGCATGCACCATAGTGCTGCGTTTTCTCTGGGTAACTATGTTGGTGGTGTTGCAGAGCTAATGAGAACAAATGGTGGCCAACAAATGTATTCTGAAGTGGTTTCTGAAGTGGCTTCTCGTTATTAAAAAGGTCGATCCTTGTAATTTTGATTACATATTGTGGGCCACATTTGAAGGAAGTTCTCGAGTTACGAAGATGAGAATCGAATCCAATGACGATATCGTAGAGTTGTTTAAAAAAACAAAGTACTCCCAACATTTACATCGAGTTGGAGCAGCGACTAAATGTAAGGATTTCGGGGATGGGGCAACAAAGCTTCACGCAAATGATGGTGTCCAATGGTGTGTGTCAACGACGTTTTGGTTTTGGTAGTTATGCAGTTTTCCACGAGCCCTCATATTCATATCAAGCAGGCAACTCTTTTTACCCAACAGACCGTAGTTCATTTACACATACTGAAGAAGGCCCTAGTTCATTTACTCAGGCTGCTGAAGATCAAACTGCGGCTTATTCGGATGTGGACCTTAAGTTGAATGATACATGTAATTGTTCAAACCAAACAGTTTGTTGGGAACATGTGAGGGTCATCGATTTTGTGCAAGGTATGAACTATCTATGAATTATACCCTAAACACAACAGAACTAGCAGTAAGGGTCCAGCGCGTACCGTTTAATATTTTTGCTGACTCTGAGACGTTTCTTATTTCCGCTGTTGGGAATCGCTTGAAATTCAGAGTCCGTTGGACTTCCGGACTAGGCCTCGCCATCACCTTGGGCTCTGCACGATAGTCACTGGCTGTTCGGGCTCGCCAAAGGGTCGCCGGAATGTCGTCAGACAGCTGGTGGTCGGTCGTGCTCGATGCTACCCGGGTCTCTGCGTGCTAGGATGCTCTGTTGCTCTGCAGGTTGCACGAGGTCTCTCAGGTCTCCGTGGGTGTTGTGGAGACTGTCCCGCATTGCACGCGAATCACGCACGAAGGCCTGGACGCCCACGAGAAACTCGCGTGCCAACCCGTATTCGCTCTGCAACCTGCTCGCTGGGATCCACCTACGCGATGCGAGCACCGCCTGCCCGCGAAAGAGAGAGGTGACGCCTATGGCTGCCAGCGACTTCACCTGCGTGCGGCTGTGCATGGGCATCCTCGGCCTACGTGCACTGCGCAGCCTGGGATGGGGCTGAACACGACCAGGCACGGCTGAGCGCGGCTGGTCTCTCCAAGGTCGTCGGTGGTTGTCTGAATTCTTGTTGGTCGAGCTATACGCACTACCGTTAGTAGGACCCAATGTGGTTCTTAGGGTCCAATGGCTGGAGAGTCTTGGTCAGATTGCTACTAATTACAAGGACGGGATGATGGAATTCTGTTCGGGAGGGAGGATCGTAACATTGAAGACCGACACCAACAAAGGTATTAAAGCACCGCGCAAGGTTGAAGAGGCATCCTTGTAGTATTTTATCCTTGAGGACAAGGATGTTCTCGAAGGGGGGGGTGATCGATGCATATCGACCTTTTCACACGCCACGAGCATCAGCTTCAGTGGCCAATTTTTGCACTAAGGATCGTGCGACGGGCTGAAAGACCGACCCGAGCTGCGCAAGACAGCGTGTAGGCGCGACACGCGACAACGCAAGACAGCGCTCATGCGCGAGGCAGCATGCCTGGGCGAGATAGGGCATACGCGCGACACGCAAGTAGGAACGACCGTGGGCGAAGCATATGCGGTAGCTGGTAGGTCGCGATATCATGTCGTGCTGGGCACGGGCGGACAACTGTGCGAGGAATCTTGAGGAGCAAGAATCCAAAATTCTTTTAGAAAATATTGGCTGACTTTAGGGGATTAATTTCATTATAATTCCTAGTATCATTCCTAGTTTATTTTGTTATTGATTAAGTTAGGTATCTTTAGCATTCTAAATAAGGATCATAGTTATTTACTTTTCTTAAGTGTACGCGTTGGGTAGTCTTAGCTTTCCTTTAATTTATCATTGTATTTTCATTTTTCACCATTCAAGTATTAAGAAAAATCAATGTTTTGATCATCTCTCTCTCTCTCTCTCTCTCTTGTGCTTAGAACTAGGCCTTATTGCGGGTTCGAACACGAACTATCGTGTGAACGGAAGGTCATTAGCGCGCCCGTTCTCGCAAAACATTATCGCCGGATACACGATCTTCATCAACAACTCGCAGCGCTCCTTGACGCTCGTGTGCTCCCCAGCGCTCCCTGTGCTGCACGCGCGACCTGCAGAGGACCCGCTTTGTCTGCGCGACTCGCCAGCGGACGCAAAATTCTAGCTACCCGCATGCGTTTCCAATATCACGCGCGTGTGACCTGCAGCACTCCAGACAACCCGCGTGTGACCTGTAGCACTCCTAGCGTCTCGTGCGCACACCCAGTAGGTGTAACCCGAGCGCACCCAACAGACCTGGCAGACCCCAGTAGGCCTCAGGCTCGAACTAGCAGCACCTCAGTCATGACCAGACGTGTCGAACATAACTGAGACGCCCTGGCGACCCTATTTCATTTTCATCTGAGCCTCGATTTATTTTTATTAGCCTTCATTTCCGAGCTTTAGTCAAATTAAATTGAGTGGATAACCAGTTTTCCAAGACCTTTAGCAAGCTTAGAAAATTAATTAATTAAGTTAATAATTCATTAAATAAATATAGTATATTCATGTTAGATAAATTCTTCTCATGTAGATTTCAAGGAGTCGAGTTCGTGAGACGAGCATGGACCATTTCATTCATTGAGCATGAGACAAGTCAAGGTGGGGATTTTCTATGTAGTTACTCATCTTAAATGCATGCTATCCTTTTAGTTGTATATACATGTCGCAGGGCCTTTGGGCAATTGACGGTAAATTACCAGGACCTTCAGGTACTGGGCTAGGCCTTCGGGCAAAGAATTGACGGTAAATTACTAGTGTATAAGAGCCATAATTCCGGGTATACCGTGGAGGCTTGAAATACGAGCCACAAGTCCAGGTAAACCATTGAGGCTTGAAGCTAGACAGTTACATTACAGTGTCCCGATTCAGTTTTGGATATGAGTACCGCTATGATGATACATGCCATTAAATGATTAATTGTTTAGTTTATTCCCACTGAGCTTGTGGTTTGTTCACCCCTCTTTTTACCCTCTTTAGGTTGAGCTAGGTGTTTATGGATAGGGGACACTGTAGTGGTCATAACTGATCAGTTTATGTTTATTTCTTTTATGAGTACTAAGACTTATGCATTTGACATGGTTTTTTAGACTTGTTTTATTTGGCATAATGAATTAGTTGATTTGAGTTTAGAACTTGAGATATTATGTTATGTTTCATGACTGATGATTTGAGCTCTTGAAATGAGATTTGGGAAGTTGAGATCTCACTGTTATTTGAGTAAGTAGTTTGAGACGATTTTTAAAGTAAAGTGGTTTCGCAAGTTTATAAGAAGAGGTTTCGATATAGTGCCTTCTGTGATAAGTTGTTTTTTGAAAAATCGTTTGAAGTATGAAGAACTTAGATCTTTAAATTTTATTAACGCCCTTTAAAATGTCCAATCTACCTTTTAAAAATTGGGGCGTTACATCGGCGCTTGAGATAAATTTAACATTTTATTCGTGATCGTTAATATATAAAAGAAAGGAAAAAAAAAGGGAATAACAGTGGTGTCGATGGTTCATGGAATTCTCTCGTTGAGAGCGTTCCCATTTCTTCGACCAAACACTTTAGCAATTTTTTTCTGTGACTATTATCATCAGACTGTGGTTTTTCGTCGACGCATTACGAGCAGATTGGTCCAGATATTGTACGGTACATTATAGCTTTGAAGAGGAAAAGGCCAGTCTAGGTTTCCGGCATCCATGGCGGATAGTCAAGACAAGGATTTATCAAACCAATTGAAGGACTTTTCACTCTCTGATAAAGAAGCAGTGGTCATTGACATTGCGAGGGATGATATAAAACTTAGTGCTGATGAATGCGGTAGAAGCCTCTTTGGTAAAATCGTTGGAGACAGGGCAGCAAGTTGGATGGGAGTAAAAAGAACGATGACCAACATCTGGAAGCTCCGGCATCCTATGGAGATTAAAGAGCTAAGTCCTAATTTCTTTCAGTTTATTTTTCAAAACAAGGAAGATATGAGGAAAGTAGTTAGTGGCACAAATTGGAGCTTTGATAATCAATACCTCATTTTGAAGGAATGGACTTCTGGTCTCACCAGTAAACATCCATGTTTCCGTGATCTTAATATCTGGGTTCAAGTAGCTAACATTCCCTTAGATTGGGTTAGCACTGAAGTAGGTATTAAAATTGGAAAAGTCTTTAAGGATCTGAAAAATGCAGTGGTGGTTAATGCTGGTAATCATGGGGGTAAAATGTTAAGGTTACTAGTTACATTAAACCTGGACGAACCTTTGCCCAAAATAGCCAATATCAGATTGGATGACCAAACAGTCCAGGTTCAATTCAAGTATGAGAAGCTGCTGAACTTATGCTATTATTGTGGAATGATAGGGCACTTAGACAGAAGCTGTGCAAAGAAAGTCTTAGACATCAACAGTAAATTCCTCAAAGAAGGCCAATTTGGGGAATGGATGAAAGCAGCTGAAGGGCAGAAATGGCCTGATACTCACACCTCAGATTCTAGAAGCTCTCCAAGAAATGAATCTCCTTCAGCTGTAGCAGACCAAAGATCATCGCCAATAGCATCCTCAAGTCAAGCTGGTACAAGTCAGCAACTAGTCTCAGTCCAGGAAAAATTAACTCCAATCTCTAAGGAGAAATCAGTAGCCTCACTCACCTCAAGTTCTAATGCTCACAAAAGGTAGGAGGAGGGTGAAATGTCCAATCTCAAACAGCTAGAAGTAGTGGGAGAAATGGAGATGGATACAGGGGATCCTCTTGCATCTCTAGACCCCCTAGAGATTCCACAAGCTATGATCACCATACCCACAGGGGCATTGAAAACATGGAGAAGAAACAGAGGGACAGATGGGAGATTACAAAGAGAGCCTAATCTTCCTTTAATTATTGCCAAGGACAGCATAGGGAAGAGATTTAGAGGAGAAGAAGAACATCAAGCAACTCAGCAACTTCACAAAACTCCAGAACAGTCTAACAGCAAGAAATTGAAATTGAATCCTGACCAGATGGGGGCTGCCAGCCTTGAGTGGCACCACAGTGATCAATACTAGCTGTGGTGTGGAATTGTAGAGGGCTGGGTGGGCCCTCTACAATTTCCCAAATCAGAGAGTTACGTAAAACTCACCACCCACACTTCCTTTTCTTTCAGAAACTAAGAAGCAACAGGCTTTTGTTAAATCTGTTGGCAGAAAATTGGGGTATGAGGATAGAATGGCAGTAGTTAATCCAAAAGGTCTTAGTGGAGGTTTAGCCCTCTTCTGGGATATCAAAGTAATCATCAAGCAGATCAATTGCAAAGACTTCTACATTGAGGTAGAGTTTCAACTCCCTCCTCAAGATACTCAATGGGGAATTTTTGTCTACTTTAGTCCCTGCAAAGTTAGTAGATTAATTCAGTGGGAGGAGTTTCTCTTTGATAAAATTTCATGGGGGTAATAATTGGTTTCCTATGGGGGACTGGACTGAAATCTGTGCTATCTCAGAAAAGTCAGGTGGAGTTCCTAGAAGCCCAACCAGTTTTCAACATTTCAATTCCTTCATAAACAGAATGGAGATGGAGGAAGTTAAAATAAATGGCTACCCTTTCACATGGAGTAACAACAGAGCAGATGGTGACTTAGTTGAGGAACAGTTGGACAGAGCCTTTGGGTCCTTTGACTGGGTGAACAACTACCCTAATGCTGCAGTTACAAATATCATCAGAAGCTCTTCAGATCATTCAGCCCTTCTTCTAGATATGGGGTTGCCAAAGAAGAGGAGGAAGGTTAGATTTCATTTTGACAAGAGGTGGCTTGGAAAAGAGGGCTTTGAAGAAGTTGTTCAACAATCTTGGAATATTCCAGTGACAGGCACTCCTTTTTTCCAACTGAAGGAGAAAGTTAAAAGGGTTAGGGCTTCTTTGCTCATCTGGAGTTCCACCTTTCAAACGAAAAATCAGGCTACCATTGCAGAGCTAACTTTAAAGTTGGAAGAGTTGAACAAAGACAAAACTGATGCAAATTGGGAAATTTGGGAAGCCACTAAAAGAGACCTGAACAAAGCTCATTTGTTAGAAGAGTTGTACTGGCAGCAGAAGTCTGGACTCAAATGGCTGAAAGAGGGAGATGCCAACACCCGTTTTTTTCATGCTTTCACTCTTCAAAGAAGGAGACAAAATGCCATCACTAGATTACTCACACCTCAGGGAAGAGTTCTATCACAGCAGAGGGACATTGAGCAACACATTGCTGAATTTTACAATAACCTCTTTACATCTGAAGGCAGTTGGGGAGGAGATGCTTTGCTCCACTTAATTCCCACATCTATCACTACAGACATGAATACTGCACTGTTAAAGCAAATAACTGAGAAAGAAGTCAAAGATGCACTATTTAGCCTTCCACCAGAGAAAGCACCAGGAGAGGATGGAATGAGTGCCCTTTTCTACCAGCATTTCTAGGAGCTTCTTAAGCAAGAACTTATGGCTACAGTCCTCAGCTTTTTCCAATCAGGTAAGATGCTCAAATATTGGAATCATAATGTGATATCTTTAATCCCCAAATTTCTAAATCCTGAGACTGTGAGTCAATTTAGGCCAATAAGCATGTGCATTGTGATTTACAAGGTAATTTCCAAAGTCTTGGCTAACAGACTAAAGGCTTGTTTAACTGAATGCATAAGTCCATATCAATCAACTTTTGTTGAAGGCAGGCAACTCACTGATAATGTTATAATTGCTCAAGAAGCCTTTCATTTCCTTAATAGGCACTCTTCTGGCCCTAACTGCTTTATGGCACTAAAACTTGATTTGATGAAAGCTTTTGACCGTATTGAATGGCTTTCTCTGAAGAAAATAATGCTCAAAATGGGTTTTCAGAGTGAATTTGTTAATATGGTGATGGCTTGTGTTTCAACAGCTACTTTTGCTTTCAAAATTAATGGCACAGTCAGTGGATTAATTACTCCTTCCAGAGGATTAAGGCAAGGGGATCCTCTATCCCCTTACCTATTCGTTATTGTGGCAGAACTCCTCTCAGCCTTGATTCTGAATGCTATTGACTCTGGTTCACTGAAAGGATTGAAATTGTCCAGAAATGGCCCACTGCTGTCCCACATTTTATTTGCTGATGACTCACTTTTCTTTTGTAAGGCTAGCTCAGATCAGGCTGCTATTCTTATGACCATTCTGGAGAAATATCGATTATTCACAGGCCAAGCTGTCAATTGGCAAAAATCTGGCATCTTTTTCAGCAGGAATACACAGCAACAGATTCAATTAGCCATTTGCAGGACACTTAATGGAATTATTCCTCATAGGTCAACAAGATACCTGGGTCTTCCACTGGGAATTGGCAAATCAAAGGAAGAAGTTTTTGAGTATCTATTGACCTCTGTAAAAAACAAGCTACACAGCTGGAAAGCCAAGCTCCTAAGCACTGCTGGAAAGGAAGTCCTTATTAAGGCTGTGATTCAACCCTTGCCAGTCTTCACCATGTCATGTTTCAAAATCCCAAAGGCAATTTGCTCTGAAATCTCTAAGTTGTGTGCTCACTTCTGGTGGAGCCCTGGAGATCAGTAGACACAAGGAATACATTGGAAATCATGGAATCTTATCTCACTCCCCAAAATGCAAGGAGGTTTGGGCTTCCATGACTTGCAGCTTTTCAATCAAGCTTTGATTTGTAGACAACTGTGGAGGATTGCTTCAAACCCTGAGCTTTTGGTTAGTAAGGTTCTGAAAGACAGATATTTCCCACATACATCCATCACTCAAGCTTCAAGAACACAAAGTGCCTCCTGGATTTGGAATAGTTGGATGGAGATGATGCCAACTTTTTCCAAATGGTTGAAAGTGGAAATAAGTTCAGGGACTGATACTAGAATTTCAGACTTCAACTGGGTTCCAAATTTGCAAAAGCCCTCACCAACTCTGATCCCAATAGCTAATGGCCATCTGATTTGGGTTCATGAACTGTTACAAAGCAATGGACAACAATGGAATGATTGGTTAGTGAATCAAGTTTTTGATGCTCCAGACAGTGAGGCCATTCTGAAAATATCATCTCTCCATCCTGGAAGAAAAGATAGAGTGTACTGGGGGTTGGAGAAAAAAGGGACCTTCTCAGTTGCAAGCACATATGAACATCTCTCCAAAATCAAGCTTTCCAAGGCAGATATCCCAGAATGCAGCTACCAAGCATCTCTCAACAAATCCATTCAGTACAGGCACTGGAACTTGAGAGTAGCAGGGAAATTGAAACATTTTCTGTGGAAATGTCTATCAGGTACACTTCCAGTTGCTTTACACTTGAGAAAAAGAAGGGTTGATATTGATCCAAAATGTGTAATCTGTTGTGGGGCTGTTGAAACTGTGGAACACATATTATTTTCTTGTCCTCGAGCACAATTAACCTGGAACTTTTCTCCTGTGCAATGGGATGAATTGCACAGTTGTACTGATTCATTTAAGGTTTGGTGGTACAATATATGTTCTGTGGGTCATTCTGAAGTTGCCGAAGCAAGAATACAATTGTCTACATACATACTTTGGTGGCTTTGGAAATCGAGAAACATTTGGATTTTTAAAAAATCTTTAATACCAGAATTCAAATTGCTGCAAGTTGCTCATTCTGACTGGTTGGCTTTCTCCTCAGCTGCGGTTCCTTCATAGATCTTCTTTTTATTTTGTTTGTTATGTAGGGGTAATTTTCTTTGCTAGGCTTTTTAGCAGTGGCGGGAAATTTATCATTGTTATCTTTATTCCTTTGTCAGTTTGACTCGGATTTTCTTTTATTGAGGCTCTAGGCCACATTCATTTGTGCGCCTCTCAGTTTTTCATTTTCGGTGTAGTTGATGTAGTTGATGTATTTCTGAACGATGTATTCGAACTTGTTCGCTTTTGAGTTATAATAGCTACCCTATCGTTTTGGAAAAAAAAAATAAAAGAAACAGTGGTGTCGATGAAAAAGAAGACGAGACTTTTTAACCCTTGGGAAAACTCACTTAAAATCTATCTCCTTTGGCCTCTACTTTCCGAACACAAGTTGGGCAAGATTTGAAGAACCAATTTCCGGATATGTCAATGATGTTGCCATAAATCCAAAAGTTCTTTTGCTTAAAATAGGAAATAAAAAATAAAACATAAAAGTGTTAATAAAATTAATGATGAAATTCTTAGATTTAATAATTTTATTAGTATTAATTATTGTATAATATAACTTATACCTCATTAGATGCATAAAAATCAGCCCAGCACTCGATTGGAGATATGTCGGACTCCAAATCTTCACAAACGTTAGACATGAAGGGCCTCAAATATTGAATTGATGAATCACTTGGTCTTATGTGTGCGGTGTACCTTTATATTCAATAAATTAATTTTAAAATATAAATATATTATTGAATTGATCAAGTATAATATCAAATAATAAGAAATTATAAAAAATAATTTAACTTTCAATACCTTTCTTTGAAGTCCAATATTTCGGGCACTTCACCCACTATTAGCTTCGTAGCATCAAATATGTTTCCAACTTTTATAGAGCCTAAAAGATCAAATTAATTTTTTTAGGGATAACAATATAAATTGAAAATATCAATCGAAGTGAAGAATGTACCATCTTCAAGAGCCTTTGCTCGGAAAAATTGAACAATGACTACACGCAAGTCATTTATAGAGGAATTATTCAAGGCATGGATAATAATTTGCACATATCCTTCCCATAATGTGCAAATTAAATGGCAGCCCCTAGAAAATATAGATAATAAATTTTTAATATCAAATAACATCATAATTACTTAAAATATAAAGAAGTGAGTACGAAGTATAACTTACTCAACATCTTCTAGAACAACATCGATGAACTTTTTTGCCACACCATTTGAATTCGTTGTTCGTATGCTTTGGACCATAACAATACGTCCAATCAAATCTAAAAAACATAACAATATAATTTAATAGTTTATAATGTAGCACAAGGGTGAGAATACTTGTATTGATAAAGAAAAAAAATTACCAAATAGCTTGTTGGAATCAACTGTTTGTGGGTCGGATAGCTCGTTGAAATTTTTAAAGTTAAACATAAACCTCAGGTAGTTGTCCTCAATAATCTTGTACATGTTTGTCTCTTGACCGAATAGAAACTTATGACTTGATTCGGTTAATTTGAAAGCATTTTTGTCCTCCTCAAGGTCCCAATTTATAATCCCGTACACACGTCCTTCGAGAATGTTGAACTCCTTGAACTTTTGTGCCAAGAAAAACCGGGTACCGAGCCATGTATCTACTGCCCCTACAAAAATAAAAAATTATATTATTAGCAAAATATCAATTAGACACTTATTTAAATTAAATCAACAAAAAAAAAGCTTAAATAAAATTAAACACCTTAACATCATGAAAAATGAATTCCAGTTCTCTTATGTTTTCTTTGTTTGACTGTAAAATTTGGGATAATTTCTGACCCATCGAAGCTTTGCGGTCATGTTCTTATTTTTTGCCAAGTATGTCAAATTATCAAATTGGAGACTCATGATGATTGTTGAAGAAAAAATAATTGGAGGAAATGAGAATTGTTTGGCTCGGTCATTTCAGCTAGAGTAGGAATGAGTGGATTGAGTGTTTTTGAATAATTACTTGAGTATTTGTCACACCCCGCCTCACTACTAGCTTTGAAAAAATCAAAGTAAAATTTTTATTTTTAATTTTCGAAAGAATGTGCGAGCTGGGTTTTCGAAAATTCTGACTTATTGCGGGATGTGGCAGATAAAAACTTAAACTGAACTCGGGCTTGCCCGCAGACATAATAAAAAAAACATGCAACCAAACTATCCGCTCGCGGATTATGGAATTATACATGCGTAGTCTGTACTGTCTCGCACTGTCTAGAAAACTCGCTGGCGGAAGCATCCGAAATACGAATACATAACATGCGTACATAAACTGAATAAAATACACATGATCATAAATCTAGGACATAAAAATGCTGGTAAAATATGTCCGACTCTCATGACCACGCTGCGCCATATCTGTGCTCATCCGGCACGCTCGACTCCGCCTCCTGAAAAACATAATGGGGGCGTGAGCAAACCACTATGCTCCGCAAAGACCAGTACTGAACAAAACATCATCTATAATAACGTATCATGAAACATAAATATATAAGAGCTGAAACTGTAAACTGATCTCTGATGTCTATTCTGATCTGTGGTCAAAAGACCCTCGGCCGTAGCCGCTCGTGTGCACACGCCGATGGGGTAAAAAGGGCCTCGCCCCTCCCAACGGTCATCAGGTGGGTATAAAGGCCTCGGCCACCCAACCCGGAACTAAACTGTCTCAAACATACCTCTGCCATGGTACAGATATTATCTATGATGTGACATCCAGTACATGACCCCCACCTGAAAACTTGAAATCTGGTATGCAAGTGCGAAAGCTGGAGTAGCAGTTGGAGGCTCGACTCTCCTTAGGCTACATAAATATTTAAGCAAAATAATGCTAAGTATAATGCTCAGAATATTTAATTATATGCTAAAATGCTTGGACTTATCTATGTGATTAAACTGGACTGGACTGGCTCGGAAAAATACTGAAATTTTCGGTACTGGACTCGGATCAGAAATCACGAATCAAAACTGACTCGAACCGCTGGTCGAACCGGCCGGTTCGCTGGCTGGCCGGACCGCCGGCTCGACTGGGCCGGGCGGTCGGGCTGGGTTCGGCTAGACCGGGCTCGGTCCCGTGCCGGGCCAGCTGGTGCCCGGGCACGGCGCTGGGCACGGCTGGTGCGACCGGGCTCGGTCCCTGGTGCCGCTGGACTTGGCTAGGCGCGGACTGGCGCTGGTGGGCACGGCCAGGGGCTGTTGGCACGGCCCGGGCACGACTGGTGCCCCTCGGGTGCGTGCTGGGCACGGCCGAGGCTCGACTGAGGCGCTGTCGTGCGGCTGGGCACGGACAGGCACTGGCCAGACACTGCTGGCACGGGGAAGGCACGGACAGAGACCACACGGGCGCTGCCGGGTGTCCCCGAGGTCACTGGGCACTCGGGCATGCTGCTGGGGCATGCACCGAGGCCAACTGGGCTCAGCTGGCCCGGCTCGGGTCAGCCCTGGACTTGGCACGAGGCTCTGGCACGAGACCTCGTGCACTGGGGCTTGCACGGGCGCTGCCGGGCACCGTGCGCATGGCTGGGCATGCTGGGTGCCATGGCCACGCATGCTGGGCCTACTGGGGATTATGCTTGGCACACGGGCACGCACTGGGCGCTGTGGGCGCTGTTGCGTGCACGCGGCCTGTGCCTCGCGCCTACCGGGCGCGGGCACTGGCTAAGGCTACCCTCTGCAGGCACGGACAGGCACTGGGGCCGGGCACTACCGCACTACATGCGTACAGTGACCAGGGCCGGCCCTTGCCCGACCTCCGGTGACTTTTCCGGTGACATGCATGTCATAACAACTTTATATGATAAATGTGCTACAAAAATGCTAAGAAACACTAGTGGACCCCGGGTCCACTTGCATGTTCACTCGGTAGGGCTTATACGGCTGGTACGAGCACTTGACGTCCGAACGAACATTCATAACTTACAAAACTACTCAGGGCCGAATGTTATACATCACAAATGATGACTATAATGGCTAACACTTAGGTCATAACATGCATGTATTGTACTAAGCCTCGGGAGTGAAAATTCACATAAAATCATAAGCATTTTGACTAAGGTAATGAACTCCAATTATATTTAAATTTTTACACCATCAATGGCATGATATTTAAAGGTGATTTAACAAACATTTTCAACTTAGGCATGCTTGCTACTCAATTTTCATTTTTAAGGTCATTTATTTCAAAAATTCGTAAATCACATATAATGACATGCATGGCTCGGTTTTTCTTCATGAAAAATCTTAAAATGTCATAAAATAATTTATGAACTCAAAAATCCCGAGCTTACCTCGGTTAGAATGGGAAAAATGGTACTAGGGCTCGAAATGGCTTGGTACGGCTTTGAATGATTTATCTCGAGTTGGTGTGTGATTTGGCCGAGCCTTTTGAACTCCCAAGACTTAGAAAAATCTAAGGAATGCTTAGATGCTGCTAAGCCTCGAGAGAAAATGGCTGGAACACGAGGTGGCTGCCTTCTTTCCTTCCCCGGGGCGCGCGCGCGGGCAGCAGGGCTGGTAGCTTTGCTCTCGGTTTTCTCCTCCCTCCTCACTATTTTTCTCGAGCTCCAAATTGTGTAAGAGCTTAAAATGGACTAAGGGAGGGGTCTTAAATAGGTGTTGGGGGCGGAGCTTACTATGTTGGTCAAGGGAGCCAAATTAAGTGGATTTAACCACATCACATTCATGGGGACTTGAGGATGTTGGGGCATCTTTTAGCACGGTTTTTGGAGAGCATTTGGTGGTATTTAAAGAGTATTATATTGAGGAAAACCAGGTCTGGTCGGGCATCCAAAATGGTGGGGAACAAGGACAAACTTCCTTGATTAAAATAATGGTGGCACATGCTCCATTGGCTTAGGCACTAATTGATTCTCCTTAAACATTGCTTAGGGTAACTTAAGCTTAATATGTCCCACATTAAGTCCTAATTACACGCCTGAGTTGGGCCATGAGGAAAGTGGGCCGAAAAATGGTGTTTTGGGCTTATGAAGTTGGGCTGGCAGGGCTGTCGCTGGGCCTGCTGGGCGCGGCACTGGGCCCTGGGCGCGAGGGGCGCGGGCTGGGCGCGAGGGCCTGCTGGCTGGGCGCGGGAAGTGGGCTGCTCGCGCGTGGAGGCTCCCTTGGGCCGATCATGGGACTTCTCTTGAAACCAAACACTTAGAAAAATTTTGCAACATGATACTAAGGCTTAGGACAAGCCTTGGGCTCGGTGGCATTTTCCCGGGCGCGGCTCGAGGCGCGGGTGCGGGACTCGGCACGAGCGGCTCGGGTAAGGACTAGGGCTCGGTTAAAATGATCAATACTTATACTTTGATGTTATTATACACTTAGAAAAATATTCTAAGTATAAAAATATCAATACTTGGCTATGCTCGGGATTTACCCGAAAGTTTACTCGGAACCAAACTAGGGTTCGGAGTCGATAAATTCTCGAATTGACTTGCTATTATTTAATAACCCAAATTAATGGATTAATCTTAACTTATACTTGAGATAGAATTATTCAAAGAATAATTTATCATGTTTGAGCATTTAGCATAAATAATATAACTCGATAATTTCTGAAAATTACGGATTTCACTTATAGTCGAGCAGTGAAACCGTTCTGAATATTATTACTGTTTTGGGGCGTTACAGTATTTATAAGGATTTAGAAAAAAAAGGCAATCAATATAAATAAATGTTGATTGATTGAATATTGAAAATATATATGGTTAGATAAAATTTTTTGCTTTGACTATCAAGTAGAATTGTATTTTGTTTTTCCGTCAGTTTCAGTAATTTGTGTTATTTAATACTAATAGGTATATATATAATGTTAAATAATAATGGGATATCAAAGTTTATAATAAAGTCTAGATAATACTTTTATTTGACTGCCGCAAATAATTTGTCTCTGTCTGACTTTTAATTCCAGATTAGGTGTCACATTTACTATTTAATATTTAGAGTTATGAAATGTGCAAAAATTATGGGCTATTTATGCTTGGAATTTATCTTAAGTATTATCCCAGAAATTTTTTTAATTTCATTTTCCCGCCTCATTTTGACATTTGGAACTGTAATTTAATAATTATAATTAATTATTTTGGTGGTATATCATATGTTGATCTATATTTATTTATTTATTTTTGTAGAATTTGTACACACTTTTAAGGAGAAGGACCTTCTGATTTTTTTTTTTTTTAATTTGTTTTTATGATGTCTTGTATTTTCTTATTTATTAACTATTTGTTGTTCATTAATATCTATTAATAGAGTATGTATATAAAAATTAAACCATTAAATAAAAATGTTTAGAGATTAAAGAATGACTATTGATAATTGTGGACACTAATTAATTTGTACCTTTATATTCAATAAATTAATTTCGAAATATAAATATATTATTCAATTGATCAAGTACAATATCAAATAATAAGAAATTATAAAAAATAATCTAATTTTCAATACCTTGCTTTGAAATCCAATATTTCGGGCACTTCACCCACTATTAGCTTCGTAGCATAAAATATGTTTCTAACTTTTATATAGCCTAAAAGGGCAAACTAATTTTTTAGGGATAACAATATAAATTGTAAGGTAAATAAAAAATATTAAGCAAAGTGAAGAATGTACCATCTTCAAGAGCCTTTGATCGGCAAACTTGGACAATGATTACACGCAAGTCATTTATAGAGGAATTGTTCAAGGCATCAATAATAATTTGCACATATCCTTCCCATAATGTGCAAGTTAAATGACAGCCCCTAAAATATTATAGATAATAAAAGTTTTAATGTCAAATAACATCGTAATTACTTAAATATAAAGAAGTGAGTATGAAGTATAACTTACTCAACATCTTCTAGAACAACATCGATGAACTTTTTTGCCACACCAACAATACGTCCAATCAAATCTAAAAAATAAAACAATATAATTTAATCTTTTATATTGTAGCACAAGGGTAAGAATACTTGTATTGATAAAGAAAAAAATTACAAAATAGCTTGTTGGAATCAATTGTTTGTGGGTCGAATAGCTCGTTGACATTTTTGAAGTTAAACAAAAACCTTGGGCAGTTGTCCTCAACAATCTCGTACATGTTTGTCTCTTGATCGAACAGAAACTTATGACTTGATTCGGTTAATTTGAAAGCATTTTTGTCCTCCTCAAGGTCCTAATTTGTAATCCCGTACACACGTCCTTCAAGATGGTTAAACACCTTGAACTTTTGTGCCAAGAAACCGGGTGCCGAGCCATGTATCCGCTGCCCCTAAAAAAGAAAAAATTATATTATTAGCAAAACATCAATTAGACACATTTAAATTAAATCAATAAAAAAACGCTTAAATAAAATTAAACACCTTAACATCATGAAAGATGATTCCAGCTCTCTTATGTTTTCTTTGTTTGACTTGTAAAACTTGGGATAATTTCTGACCAATCGGAGCTTTGCGGTCATGTTCTTTTTTAGGGGCAGCGCTATCTTTGAAGAAATGTAACACCCCGCCTTGACTAGATTTGACCTTTGAAAATCAGAGTTAATTTTTTGCTTTTATTTTCGAAATATCGTGCTAGTTTATTTTCGAAAATACTTTCCTACTTGTGGGATGCTACAAAAACTTTCTTATCTTACTCATGCGGACATAAATAAAACATGCAACCAATCAATCCACTGTGGAGAATGGAATCACACATGCAATGTCTGACTGTCTCGCACTGTCTAGTCTAGCGGAAGCTGAATTCAATAAATACATATTACACACATACATATTACATATTAATACATATTCATGAATTTTAGAACATAAGATATGTGTAAGTCCACTGCTCTTGACCACACTTGCCACGTCTGCTCACCCGGCGCGTTGGACTCCGACACCTGAAATAAGAAAGACTGTGGGAGTGTGAGCACATTGTTGGGATCTGTGAGGATCTCGTTATGTACAAATCACGAATTCAATAGCAAACGTAAACCTATGCGCAGCGGATCTAAAGGTTTGACGTAGAGAACTTACGGCTTAAAATTTATGTAGATCTGGTTGACCACGAACGGTTGACCGCAGTTGATTGACCGCAAATCACGTCTTGGGTTGCGCGAACAAGATCAGATCAAAACTGGATCAAACGGATGCAAACAGATCAAAACGAAATTTTGCTGCCTGGCACCTTCCGGCGGTGCGTGGGGGCGCGTGCGGCGTCGGATTCCGGCGACGTCGGCGGTGATGGAAAGCTCTTGTCGAGACGGTCGTCTGGGTATACTGTACGTCTCAATCGGACTTCCGGTTAGTTCTGTAGGTCAAAATATATTTCGTCTCGTTTTACCTACAGATCTTCTACTGTATTACTCAATACACCCTTCTTCAACTTGTACCAGTGGAGCAACAAGAAGAAGATAAAGCTCGAATGAGATCTAGAGAGAGAGAGATGGGCGGCGTTATTCACGTGTGAATAGGATTGGGACTCTCTTCTCATGAGCTTAATGATGTATATATGGAGCTACAGTAGGGACCCTAAGGAGATTAGGAAAAGGGCTCCTTAATTAATTAGACTAACTGTGGGCCAAACTCACTCCTCTAATTAATTAAATAATATTAATGGGCCACCAACATTATATTATTGCACTCCCTTTCCTTAGCCCAAATTACATTTGAGACTCCAATAATAATTACTCGATTTACCTCCCCACGTTTAAGATATAATGTCCATTAATTAATTCGATTACTAACAATCAAGAATTAATTAATTTATTATTATTTCACCGAAGCTAGCGCTCGTTCATCACATTCTTATTATGCCGGAATTTAATCCACCTGCAGGGTTTAGCATAACAATCCTTCATGAACTCACTCCAGGGACATCATCAAACTAACGCACATGGTGACCGTAAATATCCTAACAGCACAT